AGGCACGCTGTGATCTATAAAGGGAAAATGTGGTGAAACATGCGTGCGCACAGTTTTATAAATCAGAATTTTTTTTTTGCGTATGCCATTTCCGCCGTTTGGCCGTACATTCACTTTTAGTATGGTTTCCTTGCAATCCTTTATAAATGAGACCCCAGATCTTTTGTGTGAGAAGGGAGAAACCAAAAGAAAAAACTGAGCAAGAGTGAAAAATGAAGCAGGCACCTGGCCTTATTGTTCCATACTTTCCTAACAGAGCACTTCGCTCTAAGACTGCAGGTTTACTTCTGGTTCCTCGAGTTTCTAAAAGTAGAATGGGAGGCAGAGCTTTCCGTTATCAAGCTCCTCTCTTGTGGAACCAACTTCCAGTTTCTGTCCGTGAGGCTGACACTCTGTCTACTTTTAAGATTAGACTGAAGACTTTCATTTTTGATAAATCCTATAGTTAGACTTAGGTTTCCTGAGGTATCCCTTATTTATGCCACTATAGGCTTAGACTGCTTGAAGACAAACTGCTGCTGTTTTAGTCGCTCTACTGTACATGTTAGTATTTGGAATTATTTCACTCGGTCTCAAGACCAAGTTTTCATGCTCTTGGCTTCGTCTCAGACTCGATCTTATTTTGTACTTGGTCTTGTCTTGGTCTCGGACATTGAAGACTCTGGATTTTACTTTTCATTGTATATAAAACTTACCAATTCAAATCAAAGCATGACTCATTGCTAATTATGTATTTTTGTTACCACTGTCACCCACCCCCACCCTCTTTTACTCGCATGCAAGAAAATGAGCAGTGGTTGTCTGGGAGCGGGAGACGATATCTGCAAAATCTTACAATGGGGCCACATAAATCATAAAGAATATATTTATAAAACATCCAGGAAAAAGCCCACAGTGACTTGTAAACTCTGTAGCACTTCGCTTTCAGGGATGGTCGAGTCTATATAAAACTTTTATTGTCACTTATACAGGAAGCACAAAGAAAGGTAAGCTATGTGTAAGTGGTGTTAGCAAAGCTAGCTAGCTAACGTTAGCATTTTACCTCTATATCAAAATCCTTTACTCGGCCCTCAAACAAAAAAGTTATTTAATATTAGCTTCCTTTTGGTTCAACCTAACCATTAGCTCATCAGACTGATCAGTTTGCCATCCTAAAACAACTCCAATATCAAACATTTTTATAGACGTCATGGTAACGTTGTTGTAGAAGCGTTTACATTATCATCAGTTTTTCAGTATATGCTTGTTTAGGGTGATTTATAAGTGCATGCTGCAGCAGGTACCTGTAGCACTTCCTGGGCAGCCTGGGGAACTTCCTGTATAATTGTCATTATATTTTTTCTTAGCAGAAATGTTATTGGAGGTAAATTTTAAAAATGGTTTATGAAACCATGGAATATTATGATTTTATTTTTTTTAGATTGGAGCTATTTAAATTTAAATTTTTCCAAACTGAAGTTGTTTAAATAGTTCAACAAGTAAGACAGTTTAAAGACAACTCACAAAACAACTTTAAGACAAATGCAAAAAGTTAATCACATGAAGGAAAGTAGTGGTAGCTACACTTTTAAAGGTTTTGTCTCTGGGGCATTGAAAGCCCACACTTTATTAATTATATAATTGAGTTTGACCACTTCCTGAAGAAACAGAAATTTGGACCTCAAACAGAAACATGCTCAAAGTTAAACTGGTCAGAGGTCAATAGTCCTGTGAGAGAACAGCAGTATGAAGAAAAAAAAAAAACGGAGTCTGAGAAAAGCAGATTATGTTCAGCTTGATTTCCCAGAAAACAAAAACACAACTATCAGATACTTGTAAAATCTTCCTCTGTGAACCACTGCCGCCATCCTCGATTAGCTCCAAGACTTCAATAAACACAAGAAGAACACCTCAGACTACGTGTAACTATTCCATTTTATCAGGTGGATCTACTGCAGAGTTTACACAGATTAGGAAGTTAACTTTTTTTTTTTCAGAGCAGGGAGTGGTCTGGTAGCAAGGAGAGGAATGTGTGCATAAATAAATAACTGCAGATGAAAAGTGATGTGGTACTTCACAGAGTTATCAGTTTATTCAATCCAACAGGTCTGGTTTTAGAGTATGAAAATGTCCAGTACAGAGAGGGCAGTGCTCACAGCTTACATAAAAACTATTCACAAATATTTCAAGAAGAAAGCTCCATCAGCGTCATGACAGATCAAAAAGGAACAGCTACCAGTAATTATTCAAAAATGGCATGTGTTTGTGTTTGTCAGGCGAGAGATAATAAATGTACAGGATTAGTGTAAAGTTAATCTAAATAAAATGTCATCTCACAAACTAGTGACTATGGAGCCTGTTCTCTGCACAAATCTGTGGTTAGTGATCCAAGCATTTGAAAACCACTAAATGTGCTTTTTTTACAGAACACACCCAAACACATCAAGACGTATGATTGGCAAAGTTAGAGTCTTTGTATCTGATTTTTGGTAATTATTTAGTGAAATAAAAAGCAGCATTCCTTGAAGCCCTGCTCTACCAGCCAAAGCCATATGTAGATGACTCAGCTTCCACACCAAATACTAGCTACGGATCTTAAAAGAGTCATTTTTGTGTCTAAGGTTGATTAGTCATGTTTAACAAGGTTAGTATAAATAATAATAATAATAATAATAATAATAATAATAATAATAATAATAATAATAATAATAATAATAATAATAATAATAATAATAATAATAATAATAATAATAATAATAAATGTACAGTACATCCAATAATTGCTTTCCAAGTGCTTTATTAGATATTTAGCTAACAGACATACAACAAACGTGTGCAAAAAATACACAATTGCCAACTTTTGCAATGTTGTAAGCCTTTTTATTTTTACTCGGAAGTCAGAATTTCAAACCTAAGGTGGAAATCCAATGGTAAGAGTTTAAAAAAATACACCCCCATCTTTGTAAAATAAAGATTGATACCCTCCAATAAATCATTTGAAGAAACCTTTCAGAAATATATAGAAAATCAAGCGTATCCAACATTTATATTGGCAAATCAATGCATTTATGAGTCTAAAAAATGTCCCCATTCCACTATCAATTTCACCGTGGTTTGGTCCATTGACCCCCTGACTCATGCCTGAGAGCCAGAAGTGAGGCAAGCGTGAATATTTACCTTCCAGTTGATTGGCCTAGTATAGTTAAGGGAACTACAGTATCTTTAAGAAACATGTAGCTACTGTGATTAAGTGCATAACATACATAGAATGCCATTGGTAGCTGGTATTGCTAATAGTAGCAAGCATGATTAGTACATCCTACAAATTCTGAAAGGTTTCAACTGAAACATGATGAAGTTGGGCTTGTCGTTATTCCTAGATTTGAGTTCCAAGGAAAATGTTTGAYAGCATTACTCCATTAATACCACACTAACATGAAAAATAACCAGTTCAGACTGTTATCCATGACATCAATTTGCTTAAATCAACTATTTTCTATGAATCTATGAATGAATGTCAGCTAACTCTGAAAAACTTCCTACTTCATACTTTTCACTCACACTGAGATGAGTCTGACTTTCTAGAACACTGTTCAAACATTTAGACAACTCAACAAGTTTACAGACATATTTATTCCTCTTGACTCCTCTGGGATTATACAACCACATTCTACTAACAAACATGGTTCTGGGCTTACAAGGGGAGTACACTTTCATGTTCTGAAACCATCAAAAAAACATGAATGTCAGAGCTGTCATTTCATCTCTAATATAAGCAGTGACTGGATGGTGTCAGTTCCATGGTGAGGTGATTGAGGCTATGTTGAAACTATCACAATGAAAATACTAAAGGCATGGTAAGTGGTTGGAGATTGCACTGTCAGGCTGTCTTCCATGAAAAATTTATAGCGGAATCGTGGAACATTACCAACAATTCTTGTGTCATTTTTACCGAATGCTGGACTGCCCACCAAAAATGTTAGGTTTCAGCAAAGGTTAACAAAAGATCATGGTTTGGGCTAAATTATACTCTTTTCAAGCCTTTAAGAATTTTAAAAGCTAAACAGGTAGCTAAGTGGTTTCTGATGCATGATCTTTATGATGACTGGGAATGACATTTGGCTTAGTCTTTACAGTCTGTAATTATAGATGGATCCTGTGACATTCGTTTATATAAAAACTTGTATCTCATCCTGCTTTTTCACTTGGGTGGTTCCACTTCACGTCAAACTCAAGTCCTTTACCAGAAATCTGTTAGTCTGAGGGTTCTGGGCAATATCTTATCTGTTTTAAGGATTGCACTTTACTGGACAGAGATCTCTGAAGTTGTTCCTGRGAACTGTTGAAGTCACTCTTCCAGTTTGGGGGTCACAGCACGGAGTGCTCCAATGCCCACTGGGACTACTGACACTTTGACTCTCTGCAAACTTCTGTATTTCCTCGTTAAGCCCTTGGTATTTCTTGAGCTTCTCGGAAAATACAAATAAACACACACACTTGGCACAAAAAGTAAGGAAATCTGTGTTTGGTATATTATTTCTTTGTTGCAACAAAAAATGTTTCTTGGCAATAAATGATGTTAATGTTCGTTTCCCTTTTAAATGATGCCACATTTGTAAGGAACATGCATTTGTGGGAAAAGCAGTAACAGTAGAGCCCAGTATATGGATTGCACACATGAAACAATTTGCCAAATCTTTTCTGCCAAACAGTTTAGTTTGCTGTTGCTACTGACACTTGTTTTGAGCTTCTGGTACTCGCAGGTGCTGCTAATCAGGTGCACAGAAGCATTGTTACAAATGGCATTGTGGTTTGTAGCCAAAATTTGTCAACGCCGCAACTGGTGCAATTGTGCTTTAGTTTGTGTGGTGCTGGCCCACACATGGACCACCACTGGCAAACCAAAGGGCTAACATTATTTGTTGTAGAATGAGTGTGTACTCTGTGGGTAGTATAGAAACAGAAGCTGCAGACCGTCACCAGTACCTTCTTTAACAGCAGCACTGGTATCCGTCTCTCACCTTTGGGGATGCTGATCTTGAAGTCCAGATCCCTCTCCTCCAGGTGGTACAAAGCAACTTCCTGTAAYCTGGCTCGCTCCAACTCCGACAGGCTCTGAATGGGGACCGGTTGTAACCGCACGCTTTGCCCCAACATGGTCCCCCACGTGTGGTCCCCCTGCCAAGCAAAGAGAGATGTTACTGTTGACTGAAGAAGACCCCTTGGAGTAGTGTCGGTTATTAATCACAAAGATGATTTTCTCTTTTATCTTGAAGCTTTACAACAAATGTCCGTATCTCCTTTGACACTTTAATCAAAAGATAAACTCAAACCCTGTTTGCAATTAGTGATCATTTAACACTTGACCAACCACTAAGGATTTAAAAGCCAAAGAATCTAGTATACAAGTTAAACAGGAATTCAGCTCATGCCTTCAACCTGTTTCAAAGCATGTTTCAAAAGTCATAAAGTCCAAAGTGTTTTTTTTTAGATGAAGCAAAATAGCAGGGTATTTTTTATGACTGTGTAAACCTTCGCAGGTCTTAGTCATGTGTTTATTTTTATCCATCCCATGCTTGGCTCCCATTGTGATGAAGTATTTGTCTGTTGACCTTGGCCTCTGAATAATGACTGGTTTGTTTAAGTTGCTCTTTTCAGACACAACCTACAGTAACAGCATTGCTTCAACACACAACGAAGCTTCCTGGCATTACAACAAAGTAAGCATGTTGACATTCTGAAAGTAGTTTTTTATACCAATGGTTTGTGCATGGGAAATATATTGTGTGGATAAAAGAAGAATCTTCCGATCACAGTGTCACCTTCTTTAGTCTCTACACCACCACTCCCCCAAGATTGTATATCTTTTAGTGTTTGTTTATATGTCTAATTGTTTTTCAGACATGTTTTCACTTCAGTTTTTAAAACCATTAAAATGTCTGAAATTAATCCATATTCCTTCTACAGATGTGGCCACTCAGGGCACTTCTCCAATTTGTAGGCTAAGACAAAAAAAAAAAAGAAAATCTACAAGCAAAGCCTGAGAAATTATTGAATTTGGTTGCACTTGATCTCATAATGTTTAATATTGTGAATGATGCTCAGCTACTTCCAAACAATGTTTTAGCTCAGTATCTCTACCCTGCTGAGGATCACTGTCAGCTAACCACTTAGATAGATGGATAGGTAGGTAGGCAGGCAGGCAGGCAGACAGACAGCGGGTAAAATAAGTATTGAACATGTCACCATTTTTCTCAGTAAATATATTACTAGAGG